TGTTGTAACATTGAGGCTTAATTTAAAATCATTTAAGAATGATACCTTGCCCAATAAATGTGTTAATTATTTCCTACAATGGTATAAACTTCCTTCCCTTGGTCTTTCTTACATCCATTCGCTTTACAGGAACATCCAGTAATTTATGGGGTAGAATATTATGTAAGAAGTCTGGATTTAGGGCATTTGTTGTTTAGCAAAGAGGAAGAACTGAATCTGCATTTTAATGAGAATAATAATAAAACAAAATTTGGAATTTCCTGTTCTTTTATCCAAAGGACAGCAAATAAGAAAGAAGAATTTTATAAGAGAAATATATTGCAAATCTTCTGAGAATTTATATATGGGAAATAGGAATGACTCCTATAGTCATGTTCATCATTATCATTACTTTTTTTTTTTGTAATTTCCACTACTGTGAATTTTTTAGGTTAATTCTTTTCTGGTTGCAAGTCTAACTAATTAGAAGAGAGTGGAACCTTGGGTATTTTATAGTAGGAATCATATGTGTTCCGATTTTGTTAAATACTGTTCTGTCAGGCCGGTGGCCCAGTGGCTAAATCCTTGCCTTGCCAGTGCTGGCATCTCGTATGGGCACCTGTTCATGTTGGTGCTGCTCTGCTTCTTATCCAGCTCCCTGCTTGTGGCCTGGGAAAGTATTGGAGGATGACTCTTCACCCACATGTGAGGCCTAGGAGAGCTCTTAGCTCTTGGTTTCAGATCTACTCAGCTTGGCCTTTGCATCCACTTGGAGAGTGAACCAGAGAACAGAAGAGCTTTCTCTATGTATCTCCTTCTCTCTGTAAATCTCTCTTCTCAATAAAAGTAAATGAATCTTTAAAAAAATTTTTTTTGTTTAAAATTCTGTTCTGTGGAGTCTGTGAATCCTGCACTATATGGGAAAATGATACTTGGATGTATGATTAAGCTAACAAGTTTGAAATGGTGTCTGCAGATTTTCTCAGATGGTCCCTAAATGCAGTCACAAATATCCAAAGGCATGGAAAGCAGAGATTGGATTTGAGTCCAACCTAAAGAGAAGGCAATGTGAGTAATGAGACAGTGATTGGAGGGATAAGACTGCAGACAAAGAATTCCTGGAATTTGCATAGGCTAAAAGAGGCAAAGAATGAGTTTCCTTAGAATGTTTGGAGGAAGGATGGCTTTCTGACACCTTCCTAAAGATTGAGTGATACTGATTTCAGACTGATAGTTCCCAGAACTGAGAGACTGAATTTCTGTGAATGTAAGTTAGTAGGTCTGTGTTTACTTGTAAAAATGTTCCGATTAATGACATAGCATTGCTTGCATCTACAATAAGGTTAGTCTTACAATGCTTTATGTCAAGTCCTCATTGAGAGATAAAACAATTATGATGGAGTAGGATTTTAGCATGTAGAATTTATGTGTTTAGAACCATGAATGAAAAATGTTATTTGCTTTGTATTTATCTTGTTACACCTTTCTCTGACTTTCTGGCTTCTATTTCTGATTTTACATGTCATTAATTAATCCTATAAGTGACACCTGTGTTTTTAAAATACTGTATGCTTGTTATTATAGAAGAAATTGGATAAGAATCTACTTTCTTATTGATTCACTTGATTTCAAGACACTTTTAAGAATTATTTGGAAAGCAAAAACAAAGCAATTATATATATAATTGAGATTTTATAATAGGCTCAGTTCTAGAATAATGAATGTAATTCATTAATTGAAAGTTAATTGGTAACATCAGCAAAGTTTATCTTGTATTTTGAGAATCTCATGCTTCAGTTGATACCTAGTGTGCAATTGGGATTTATTGGTACAATAGCTTTGTGTCTGGAAATGTATTAAGTTAGGAAGAATATTAATATTTCTGCAGAACAATTACTTGTTCAATTGCTACCTGATTAAAATTCATGCATAACTTATTGAAATGAATAGAGATTTTTATAAATAACCTTCCATTTCTCAAGGGCCTAAAAACAAAATACATATTCTAATTTAGTATGCTTTTTACCTCCAAAGTAGAACGTTTAATCTGTATTAGTGTGTCATGCTCAACTCTAAATTTTTACTTATAATTATGCAGTTAATCAATGTATATAATTTTACCCACTCTCAACCCTGCAGTTCTAGAACTGAAATATCGCTTTAATTGTTGGGCTGACCCCTATCCCTACTGTTGAGTATTAACTTTTGATTTTAAAATATATATGTTCTGTAGGAAAACAAAGCAAAATAGTGTCAAGTACAGGTCTGGTTGATGTGTTTAGAAATGTCATCTTTTAAGATTTTTCAAATATCATATCATTTACCATCAAAGAAATTGTAATGCAAAGAAGTGATTAATGGGTTCACATTTACCCATATATATATATATATATACACACACACACACATATATATATACACACACACATATACACATACATACATACACACACATGGTTTGTTGATTGCAAGTTTCATTTGTTTATTCATTGGTCATGAAGATAGAATTAGGGGAAGCGTACGATGCTTTATCCTTTCCCTATTTGTGATACTTACTCTGGCCTTTTTCTGCTTGCCGTCTCTGCACTCTTGTTTTCATCTTAGTTTTCATAGCTAGAAAGTGTGAGTTTTAATAGATGAGGTTTAACATTTGATGCACATAGATATAAAGTAAGTTCAGATTATTTGTGGCTGTGGTTACTTATTTATATTTTATTTGGAATATCATTCCTGTCTACTACGTGTTAACTGTCAGACTTCTTTAAGTCATTGTTGACTAATAAAATGAGTGAAACTGTTTTGTTCTGAAGTAGAAATTCAGTGAGCTTTGAATTCAGCATTATTTCTAATTTAAATTAGTTGGTATATGAGCCATGTGGAGTGAAAACGTGGTAGTTTAGCTTATCAACATATACAGAAAGCTTCTTATTATATGTGCAACTTTCAGGTATTCTAGGAAAACTTTTGCATTTCTTCTGTTATGTTCGTTTCTCTGGTCAGTTGTAGCTTAGCTTAGGGTTTAGGCAGGGTTTCAACCTTGCTTTCAACAAAAACTTGAAACTTCTGCATTTTAAACCTGTTAGATGAGTTTGTAAAATCCATGGTACTGAGTGTTGCTTCCACCTTACTTTTGCTGTTAAGCGAAAACTAAACGTGTTGGTTTCATTTAAAAATGTTTTTTTTTTTTTTGGTTGAGTATGACTTCTCTGTTGAATTCGTTTGTGAAATTGAAAAAGTTCAGCTGTTCACTATTTTGACTACAGATTGTGAAACAAACACTAGATTTCATGTTTCAAGTTAGTGAAGTCCTGTGGAAAAGTGTATTTGTATACTATATTGTATATACCATACAGTATTATCGTAGAGGTTACATAGATAATGAGTATAGGTCAGATGATTACACAGATAATGAGTTGAAAGTTATTGCTGTAGTGAGATGCATTTAAGGGAACTATCATATCTTTTTAATATGATTTTGGATTAAAAAAAAAAACTTCTTCCTTTCCCTGTTGTTCTTTACCTAGTAATCTGTTTGATTTCTGCATAAGCATTTAAAGCCACATTTTTTGTTGGTGTCTTGTTACTGTGTCTTCCCACACTCTTGTATCTGTATCCAATGTGTTGAACAACCTAAGAATTAGTAGTTTTGAGTGCTACTTGTTCAATCTGTACCCATCAGATGATGTTCAAGGTAATGTTCTGGAAAGCAAATTCATGTGTGTAGAGACCCAGACCAGTTAGCCTGTCACTTGGTAGTGATACTCGCAGTGTACAAGCTGGAAGGAAGACAGAAACCAGTGTAGTCAAATTTCAAAAGCAAGTTGAGAACTGAGACAGAAACTTCATGTGCTTGGTACACCTGCCAAAGAATGCAAAGTCTTCTGTGAGTTTCTCTCTCTGTCTTTTTTTTTTTCCTTTAATTTTTTCTGTTTTTGAAAAAATATGATCCATTTTGAGCACATCTGATTCTGCGCTCTTAAACCTTTGAATGTGTGTGCTTTGGTACTCCTCGCTGTGGGGGGCTCAGTGTCATGCGGCACTGGGTTGTTGGAATTAGCAGAGGTGTGTGTTCCCTTTAAAATTATTGTAAGTCATTTTTGACATCGACTACATTATTGACCCTTTGAAGTCATTTCAATTCCTTGGGAAGTGTGAGAATAGTGGTTGTAGAATTTCAACGAAACCCCACTTGGTCACCGTGTACTAATTAGAACATCATGGTATAATGTATCCTCCAGAGAAGCCATTCTTACAAGAGCCAGAGCTAGGAACAGAGGAACAATATGAAGTATAGCATTTTATGTGCGTCATTATGAGGGGAAAGAAGTGCTCAAATATTGAAATGATGTTTACCAGATTATCTTTCCATGGAATACTTTAACCTATTCAAAGTAAACTGTGACAGGATTTCCACATTTAAGTTTAGTGTTTGATGTGTTGTCTTTTCCTACAACCCCACCCAATGTCCTGTGGTGTGTTGTGATTTGTGTTTTGGCCCAAGTGTAAATTTCGGTTTTCAACTTTCTGACATTGTTCTGTGGAGATTAGAACCTCACTTCAACTTCAAAGGTGGCTTTTCTATGCCCTCCTCGTTTGCACATTTTTAAGAAATGTGAAAAAATTAAAAAACAATGAAAAAATAAAATCCAAATTGACAGTTGACTTATTTCATGAATAAAATAAGTATCAAAGACCTACACTGTTCAGATTGTTAATGCGAGCTATTCATCTCTAAATAGTTTTCCCCTCATTGGCTTGTTTTTACAAACTTGTGTCATGGAGAGAAATATTTTTTAAGAGATAAATAGGCCAAGTTAAAATGTCCTGAACTAGCCAATCAAGTATTAATTGCTCTTAAAAAGTGCAGTTGCTACACCACTCAGCCCTGGGTTTTTCCAAATATTTATGTGTTCCTAAATGAACCATTCATTAAGATTTTAGGCTCCTGAGATAGTCTGACATGGATGTATTACAAATATGTAGATGTTTAATTAATTAGAATTCACCCTGATCTCTTCTAGAACCACCAAGACCCATTGCTCCTCCCCAGCTACTCGGTGTGGGACCTACCTATTTGCTGATTCAACTAAATGCTAATTCCATCATTGGTGATGGTCCTATTATCCTGAAAGAAGTGGAGTACCGGATGACATCAGGATCCTGGACGGAGACCCATGCAGTCAACGCTCCAACGTACAAATTGTGGCATTTAGATCCAGATACGGAATATGAAATCCGAGTCCTACTTACCAGACCCGGTGAGGGTGGAACAGGACTGCCAGGACCTCCACTGATTACCAGAACGAAGTGTGCAGGTAAGATTGAATAGCAGACCCTTCTGCCACAAGAAGAATATCCCAAATGATGCATAATGTAAGTTCTCTTTGTATGGTATTATATAGTCGTACTGTTCTGAATTAGGTATGTCATGATTTTGTTTGTGTTGTCATTGCAAATATTAAAATGCAACATGAGTGCTTCTCTGTTGTCATTTTGGTATTACTATAACTTAACATATATTGATATATATTAACTTTAGTATACATATATATGAGAATGTTAGTATATGTAGTGATTTTGTGGTGGTCATTACTGCCAAAAATCTGTTACCTATACGTGAGAGTATAATTGATGAAGAAGAGCTTTGAGCTGAGGCAAATGCTGAACACCTTTCTACCATGTGCAAATTATATTCTTCAATCATTTTTTTGTTATAGTTGAGGTGCAGAGGCTATTTTATAGCCTAGCTTTAAAATTTGACTCTGGACAGTGCTTTGTCTGACACCCCTTCTGTTCTGTAAGTCCTGTTGTGGAAGATTAGCTCAGCAGCCTGAAGTCAGCCATGAAATACAGGGAGGTTTTCCTTAAGCTTTTCATGTTTGTTGTTGCTTTCCTTATGCCTGACACAAACAGATGAAAAATAGTAACATATGGAAAAGCATAAAGAATAAAATACACTAAAAAGTATGCATATTCATATTTCCTACCTCCTTATTGTACCAGATTACAATGGAAGAATCATAGCTACTTATTTAAGGTCACAAAAAGTTTAATCATCTAAGTTGAGTTATTTTTTATTGCCTTGTTTATAACTGGAAAACTGTTTTCTGCAGAGGCATTTTCTGTCAGATATTATATTGAGGTATCTTAGAGTTGGTGCATGTACATGTACGTATTAAACATTTAATATGTCGGTTTATGAAAACTTGAAATTAAACTGTGAGGAGATCTGGGTGCCTACAAAATATCTTCTTTCTAGAACATCTGTTCATCATTTGTGAAACTGTTAGGCTAGCCACCGAGGGTATTAATCTATAATTAAAGCAAAATCCAACTATTTAGCCAATATACTATAACCCTTAAATAATTTTTAAGTCCAGCTCAATTTTTAGATGTTAAGAGTATCTGCTAAAATATAACTTAAACTATCTCTAGTATTAGCTGCTTTTTATGATTGACTTTTCAAGACCATACAATGTTGTCATAATCAGGGGTACTAGTATTGAAGGCCTGAAAACACTGTCTTAGAGGAAGTTCTTGTAATAATTGTACTATATTTTGTATGCCAGGAATGCTTGCTCTGTAGCATACTAATTCCACAGCCATTCTTCGCAAAGCAACACAAAGTGCACCCCACCTTGTAGCTGCAATGCTTGAACATTCCTATCATCTATTCGAATAAATGCTGATTATTTAAAGTAGACATTTTAATATGCCCTGTATTTTGAGACTACGTGGAAAGCTAAGTACAAATACTTCGTAAAGGCATGTTTGTGAGATATTCATTTCACATAAATACAAGTTATAAAGGAATGATGATTTTTTTCTTTCAAAATATAATTAGATTATATCAGAGTCACTATTTATTTTTGATTACTTTTAATGAAAGAATTAATTTACAACTTTTTTATTTTCATAATTTCATTTTTGTGGGTTTAAACAGTTTATCCTTTACTTATGCCAAAGAACGAACGTTATTTCCTCCGCAGAGGTTTGTCATGTTTTTCATAAAACTAAATCAAGGCTTTTATTTATGGTATTCATGAATATGCTTTATATTTGCCATGAAAATGTTTTTAACAGTATTAATTGATGCTACTCTGGACGCATCACATGAAGTGAAGCTCACATCCATCTGGGGGTTTGAAGTTTTATCACTCTTTTTGTTTCTGGTGAACTTCAGGTTGCAGGAAGAAAGTAAAATCAACGACAGCTTGCTCACTGTGAGAGAGCCAGGCGGCAAGGGCCCTTACCGTTTGCTGATACTTTAAAGGCTTAAATGAGTTCCATTTCACCGTGACTGTAGTGATCCCCTACACTGTGTGATGATTTTTATGCGTAGATAAAGGAACAACAAAATCTGGAGGCCTGTGTATTTTAAAGATTATTCTTTTATGAATAGTGTGCATGGCCAAGTGAGTCCTTTAGGAAACATTTGTTAATATTTGCAAATTTAGCTTTCTTAAAAGCACAGTTTTTATTTGAAAACTCCTCTCTCTCACTCTCTCTCAATATTTATATCTCAATACATATCAGTTAATAGCAAGTGCCTGTGAGTATCATACTCCATTGTTTTTGAAAACGCCCTGCCCTGTTGCCAAGGAGGGTTTTTTGCTTGGGTTTTTCGTTCTCCAGTACGTTAATACCACTTGGCAAGAGCGATTATCTGCTTCTGGGTCTCTTAAGACAGCAAAGGTAGTAATTAGAGCCTCTGGTGGCTGAAGACACCTGGGCTTGTCTCATGATCTTCTGTAGAGGACCTGGCAGTTTATGCCTCACCCATGTTATTGTTCACAACATTTTTTTTCCGGAATTTTATGAATTTAAAAAACAGTAAAAATGTGAACACTTAAATCTGCAGTAATTCAGAGAGTGTTTGGAACAATCAGAGAAAGCGTGCTTGCTTTTTTTCTCTGTGTGTGTTTCCTCTGGGTATGCCATCTGGCAGAGAAGCTAAGAAAGTACAGTTTCCTTTACTCTTATTAAATGGAAATAAAGTATGCCATCATCAGAAATCGTCTGCATTGCGTGCTTTGGCAATTGCATGTCAGAATTGCTCTTTTCAATTGCCTTCTGCTGCAGGGTGAGCCATTGTGGAACTATTTATGATTAACTGACATTTTAGCAGCATCTTCTTCATAGGGAAGGTCAAGAGTTCAGTATGTCCAGAAGGTAATATATTTACACAGTTGGAAGAAGCACTTTGTACCCTCCTACTGAAGTTCAACCCTCCTAACAGTTTTCCATGGAGAATGTAGATCTATAATGCAACGAAAAGGAACACAAATCATTTTAAATATAAACATTTAACTTAGAATGTATTTTTTGAATGCTGAATCCAAAAGAAAATGCAGAAAATTCACAGATCACAAGTTAAATTTTAGTCTTATGCTTTATGTTCATCAGCAGCATGATGACATAAACTGATTTTTACTGTTCTCCAAGACATGTATCCATCAGAAAGACCAGTTGCCATGGAAATTCACCCTACAGGTTAAAACCAATTGAATTGTTTTAATAGTATGAGAATGACTTAAAGATTTGATTTAAAATGAGGGCTTGTTTCATTCAGTGCTTCTTTCAAAATTTTTAAAATGATTTAACTGCCTATATATGATCTTTATATGACGTTCTCTTTACTTTTGAGCAAATATTTTAAGAGGCAGTATCGTCCTTATTGAAGTCAAGAAAACTAAAACAGCTATAGGAAAAGTCACATAAAACAGTTTTTCCGTTTTCTGAGAAATCAAAAATAGTAAAATCTTGAATGAGATTCCTTTGTTTTTAGTGAGTTATAAGCTGATTTTGTTTTCCAGATTCTGTAGACAGTATTGATGTTTCAATATTTATTCAGAAAATCTTAGGTTGGCTTCTTTCTTTACAGTATAGGGTGCGTGCAAAGTCTTCAAAGATGCGCAGGCAATGCTTTGCCAATAAGCCTCTAATCCTCAACAGGGATAGATGTATAAACAAAAGCTAAAATGTAAAGTGATAGGAAAAGAATCAAAACAGAGGAGACTGCATGTTTAGCCCAGTTGTAAACACTGTGGATGGGCTTGTTTTCAGTTCTGAGGACAGATGGATGGTTCAGAGGATCACTGGCTAACTCTGGGCTTGTGGTCAAATAAAAGCTGGCAGATAAACCTTGGGTAGCTCTAACATGATTCAGCTGTTATCCAGTTGGATTTATGAAGCTGCCCGAGTTTAGTAGATTTACTTTTAGAAAGATCATTGCTTCTCTGTGGGAGATGAGTTCAAGAAAAGGAAAAACTGTAGGCGGAATACCTTGACAGCATACCTTTAATGATAGACACACACACACACACACCGTGCACACAGGAGGATCATTCAAATAGCTTCTGGAAAAGTTGATGTAAGGATAAATTAGTTTTGACACAAAAATGTAAAATCCATAAACACGAAAGATCTTCACAGAGTTTGTGTAATGTATGGAATGCCTGCCCTGTGTGTGGGAGAACTTTCCATGCAATGCCCCAGTATAGGTGTCAAGAAAGATTTGTTTTCCCCCAAAAGAGAGAGTATAGGTATATATTTTGTAAATGACCTAACTTACTTTATTGCTTGAAATATGTTTCTTTTTTTCACATATATAGACTGTCCCATGTAAATACATGTTATAGGAGAAAATCATGAATTATTGGGAGAAACTTAGGAGCTACTGTATATTGGAAGAGATATATGGTTACTTAATTATTTTTTATTTGAGACCTGTGATATAGAATTTGTCATATTTGGGACCACAGAAGACACAATATACTCAAGATCCCTACATTTACATGATTGATAATGCAGTGTTGTAAACACAGTAAAGATTACACTTTAGTGAATGAAATTGCAAAAATCAAAAGTTCCTCATAAATCTTGAAAATGAGGAAGAGTTTGTGACCAAAAATATTGTTTTTCACTGTCAACATTTCTAGGTAGAATTGGATTAATGTCTGTGTGGATCTTTAAGCTTGCCTAAGATTCCTATGAAATTATGTATAAAACACGATCCAGCCAGTCGTCACCTCAGGATGTGTACATACAAAATATATACGGACAGATGGAGGTATCTAAAGAAACATGTGCTTCATGCCCTAATTTAAAGCCTAAGTATAATTAACTGTTTAATTAATCTCTGGGATCCCATGTTGTTTAATTTGCTCGAAATTCTTTGGGAATAAGAAAGAGAAACTTTTACGAAGGAATTGATAGCTGTACATTCTGATAATATTTAAAATTAGGAGCATAAGATTTGTAAAAGTTGAACGAATGTGAAAGTATCTCAATCATTGCCTTTTGAAAATGTTTA